GATAAAATCAATCTTGAAAAACTATGAATAAAGCAAAAACAAACAGTTGCCCTACAAGTCCTCGGCGCTATAACCCTAGATCGTTCGAGGAGTCGAAAGGGAGAAGTACAATTGTATTGTATTGTTCAAGGTCTGGATCTTACGGCAATATCTCCTGACCAGAAGCACGACTTGCACTGGACAATTCGGCTACGAAAGAACAAGAGTCATACAAACTGTAGACAATCGAATCCCGTCAATCCGTAATTCCCCCTCCATTCTTCCCTTCTCCACAGGATCAGGGTAAAGCACGAGGCAGTCCGAAAGAAGAAGAAAAGAAAAATATAACCAGACCATGCATGTCAAAAACTTGCACTGCATTCCCTTCAATATTCACCGATCGTGGCCTCGGGAATAGCCGCCCTTGAAAAATAGGCGATGATTAGGCTGAGAAGACAATGGTTAACGAAGATGGTTAGATTAGTACTGATGTGTCTTGATGACGCTCAGACCCTATATCGTGAAGGCATATAAAGAGCGTGGCTCTCAAAGTCAACCGACTCAGCTCAATCCCCCTACTCCCCACACAACAAGAGTTCCGAGGAACAACTCCCTCCCACAGCGCGTCATTTACACAACAGAGCACAATGGTACTCACTCGCACAATGCGGAAGCAACTAGCAGCCACTCAGACCGCAAACACGGAGACGACAATCAGTAATGAGACGTTGTTAACACATTCAAGGCGTTCGCATATTGCGCAATCTGGAAGCGGCCCGCAACCAACGGCCGGAGAGGGCACCGCCGTCCATAACAATGCGGTTGAAGGCTCCGCCAACGTCCGCACCAATGCCTTCAGCACCACCACGGGAAGCGTCGGTGCTTTTCAACCATACACCGTTATAGAGGACCAGTCCTCTAACACCCAAACTGCGCAAGCTGCGCATGTCGTCGAAACGAAACGTAAAAGAAATGGTAAGTCGTCTTCCTCATTCCGAGTTGAGATTCTTCATTAAAATATTTATTCCAGCCGAGGTCCTTGATAGCCAGCCACAGGCATCGGGATCTTCCACCGAAAGTCCGCAAAATTCTCGTGAAGGTCAGTTAGACCACCCTACGTAAGTGCAGCATTGAGCTGACATAAGGTCCAGACATTCCGAATGCCTCCCTCGCACTCCCTCCCAGGCCGAAAGCTCGCAAGAAGCGCGGGCATGGGTGGACCCGCAAAAAAACTAGAAGGGCGGCTACCCAAGGTCGAGCTGTCCGGGTAGGCGGCAAACGCCCAGTTGAGGGTGTCGATGGCGAAGAAGACGAGGCAAGGCCAATGAAGAGGCGGCGTATTAGTGAGGAGGCCGTTGCGGGGCCATCCAACACACGTCCAATGTCGTTGGACAACACGATTGGTGCAACCAACGTCCGTCAGCTGCGATCGCGCAGCATCGTCTTTCCCGCAGGTCCCGCAAACTCGGGAAGCGACGAGAGAAACAGGACGACGAGATCGCCATCTCCAGATCGTGCATCAGAACGACCGACTTTAGAGGATACACTAGAAAATGAGGTAGACTTCACTCTCATAAAAACAGAGGATGAAGAGGAGGATTTCCTCTGGGATACTCCTCCGCCTCGGGATTGGAGTCTGCTGGTGCCAGAATATGAACTGGCAACCGAAAACACGTTCCGATTTGACAGTAACCGGAGTACGCCGGAGTTGACGACTGGACGTGACGGGTCCCATAGGGATAGAAACGAATCGGTCGGCTCAACGCCCGTAGGAACGCCACGGGCCGAGTCAGCGGACGTCCAATCGTTTGATAGATCCCTTGTGATCGTTCTTCCGGGAACGATGGAGGAAGCGGAGCCACCAGACGAGTTGATGGACGTTCGGGATGAGGGTGAGGACGAGGACGAAGGCGAGGACGATGTTTCGGTTCCTTCCATCCCTGTTGACAGAAGAAGATCAAGGGCTCCCAGCCCTCCATCCCTTCCTCCATCACGCTCTGTCTCAAGACTTTCGACTCCCCAGCGTGATGAGGAGACATGAAGCGCTAGATAGTTCATATGGATGTGACCAAAAGAAGCGGTTCCATATAGTCTTGAGCGTCACGGCCATATCCAATCAAGCCTAGAGGTCTCGAATTTTCATCGTCCATCTCGACAGCCGCCCAGAGGAAGATGCGTACGATCAAGAGATCATTCCACACCTCGATTACGGTAACGAACCGCAAAGTGGGCCATCTCGTCCTCCTGGCTTCTTGTGGCCGCCTTCTTGTTAGTCCGGTGTCGGTAACGCGTCCAAGGACTTTGGAATCGACCATCGTCAGCTGAGCGTCTGCTCCTGCTGGATAATGCCCATCCAACGCTATCCGCCGTTAATCCGAGTCTTCCGAAGTGTATATCAGCAAGTCGACAGCGTCCTCCGATGCAACGGCGAGTTGAACGACTGTCGTGCGTCTGCAACACAACGTCGGCCATAGCCCTTCATCACTTTCGGCACGTTTGTCTCTACTTTCCGCTGTCGCGACTGTATCACTAAGTCCTACCTCGACGTTCCGCCAGCAGTTCTTGTCCTCGACCTGCTCTGTATTTGTACTTGTACTTGTATTTGTATCTCTTGTCTCCTCTTTCTGTTTCGCACTTCCTGTACGGCCAAAGGCTACTTTCTCCCTGTAATGTAATAATAGAAAAGCGGTGACGACATCGGCGTCGACTCTTGGCTTGCTGATCCTTCGAGATCAGTCAAGCCTCCTCATAAACCTCTGGCAGAAGCATCCTCGAGAGATGAAGACCCAGAAGATTATGCGCAAGGTAACGGTAGACTAGAAAGGTTGAAGGGCCTCAACCCTGCTGAGACATTCACCAAGTTTGAAGGCCCGGGTACATTGCTACCAGATCGAACTTCTGCCAGGGTCGTCGAAGACGAGGCCTGAGTTGATTTGCATTACTCCGTACCAAAGGTAAACGGACTGATTGAAGACATCTGGTGTGCACATCCTCTATTCATAATAAATAAGTGCACCACCATGATGTGAATGAAATCCGGATCACAGATAGACAACTACAGTGGTATTGTGAGTCTGTCACATACCAAGTTGTGGAACCGAGTTTAAGATCTGACAGCAAGGCGGATCCTGAACAAGAAGAATTCAGTATGGTACCAGATTTCATAGGAATCCGAACCACGCCGAACCTTTGTTCAAGTTACAAATATACAATTAGCACACGCTCGTGTTGTGCTGATAGAGGCAAGAATGGACGAAACTTGTAGTGCGTTGTCAAGTGAACGCAAGGAGTGCTGCTCGAAAACATCCAGTACGCTCGTCCTGCATCCTTACTTATTAAATATGTCGAGCTAGGATAGGAAAGGAAAGTTGTCTTACGGATGGACTTGAAGCATATGCTCTCTCAGTGGGTTTCATTTAAAGGCCAACGAATGCAAGAACTGTCAACAAGAAAAACCGGAACATAGCAGACGGACGTCGACGAGAAACATCGCAAGCCCACCAGTCTGTTTTGTAGCACACTGGTAGCGATATCGATCCACGAAAATTTCGAGGTTCCTGCGGCGGATGCAGCCGAAATCGATCGAACTCGAAGGTAGGCTGAGCAATGTAAGCGTCGTAAGCAACCTACTACAGTATGGTGAGAGGAAAACCCCGACGTACACAACCCTTGCTGTTGTTTTTACTACGCCTTTGTCTTGGGCCATTGGGCCTAACGTTAATCCTTAAGTAACGTTAATAGTGTTCTTTTTGTGTGAGTAGTAGAATGAAAGGTACGAGTTAAGGTTAAAGTTTGACGTGGTAACAGCTGAGTCAAAATGCGCCAAATATTTCCCACGCCGCATACATTTCGGATTCTCGGAACGACGACTTCTCTCCTCTCCGTTCACTCAGTTACCCCGGCTTATCTTTCTTTATTAACTTTTTATTAACTGGAAATGGTGCGCTGCCCAAAATGCATTATTCGCCTATGAATAATAGCACTGAAACGAATTCGAACAGACAGTGTGTGGTGACTGGTGGTACAATCATAGAATACGATGCAGTCGCTGGCAACGGTTTATGTGTTGGGTGCGGGACGGCCGTCGAGGAGATTGTAATTATGTCTGAAGTTATGTTTGGCGAGTCGTCGAGTGGTGCGGCGGTTGTGCAGGGGTCGTTTGTTGGATAGGGTGCAAGTGAGTTGTTGGTCTCTGATCTCCCGTCTCAACTCGTGAAGTTGAGCTAAGTGATGTTCATGTGTTGGTGTTGGTGGTGTTATTGTTGTGGTTTAGCACATGCGAGGATGGGAGGCCCGTACGGGAAGAGGAACACTTCTGAGTCCCGCGTGCAGACAACTTTAATTTTTAATTTTTGGTTCGACGATACGGACTTTACAAGTTCGTTAATTTGTTCTAGCAAGCAGGAAGATCCGGAACGTCGGCACAGTTATGCGTCTCTCGGAGGTCGTCCAGACAGCCGCAATTTGCATGTACACTCTGGCTCTTGAACATAAGTATACATTTCTCCAACTCGTCCAAACCCTCAACCTCCGGCACCATCAAC